CCCTCTTTTTCATCCTGCTATACAATACCCGTCCTTAATTGTTCGACAAAAAGCGAAGAAAATGCGGATCCGCGTTTTTTTCGTTTTTTCGCCGTAACTGACTTAGTTTTGAAAATTTCTATACAAAAATTACACCGTTGAATTCAGCTCGTCGAGCTCTACAAGATTCTTGTTTGAAAAACTGAAAATATTGTTTTCGATGTTCTTTTCTCTTTGAAGTACCTGAGGCGACTCGTTAGCGAGCGACGATCGCTATAATTATAACCAGAGGCTAATCGCACCCAATCCATTCAGTGAAATCATTCAGCAGTAGATTGAGCAGCTATCTTTCTCTAGAATTATATGAAAAGCACTTCTTTGACCTCATCAGGTGATGCTGGTCATTTTCGTACCCATTTTTCACAAAATACCTATTTTTTCCAAGCCTCATTTTAAGGCGATTAGGAACATTTGAATTGAAATTTGGCAGTTATGGGTTAATAGTCAGCCCCAGTGGAAGAAACGGTTGTTATACAGGGCCATTTCTTCCCTAATGTGAGCAAAAAACAAGTGATATGCCAAAAGTAGATGGAATACAGCCGTTCAAAAGCTACAATACGGCACAATAACTGGAGAAGAACAAGATTTTTAGCATTTTCATGTGCCTTTTGCAGCCGAACTAAAGAAGCTGATTCCTCGTTGAAGAGGACTGCGTGCAGAATTGACTACGTAGTTTCGTAATTTGGAAAATCGTGGATTCACCAAGGCTCTACATTGGTAGCTGCTGCCGGCTTTGGCTTGGAGCGCTCGAGAACAAGACCCGCCTTTATCATGAGATTGAAACTTCTGGAAATTCATGCCATTCGAAACCTTGTCAAAAATGCAGTGCAACCGTGTAAGTATCCCTCCACGATACCTCTTATCTATTTTCAAACTTTTCCTCCTTGAATTGCCCTGTCCATGATCGCTCGACCTCCCAATTAGTCATGTCGCCGAGGTGACCAGGGCAGTTTATTGATCAGACTTGTATGGTCCAACATCTTCACTTTTAGTTGATGACCCTCTAATTGTGAGATAGCACAAGAGTTTCCTTCTCAGAAATTGAACACCTTCCAGATAAGCTACAATTTTTGTAAAATCTCTTCAAACTTCAAACTAATTTTCAAACTGATTGTCTTTTGAACTCATATTTTGTACGGTGGTTCATGGATTCAAATGCTTTATAAACTGCTACTCATCGTGTCTTCGCCTGTTCTTGCATTACCGAATTGCAAAGAATATCCCGAGGTAACAGGTGCACAATTGATTCATATCGGTGGGAGTGCCAGTGGCTGATTGGAAAACAGCCTGAAGAAGAATCAAAAATGAAAGAAATGTGTAAGTTATGTAATATGTAGCGTCTTGTACAGATATCAGAACATATACCCAGAAAATTCTTCTGTATTGCTCACAATTAGTGGAACTCGACGAGAAACTCCTTGCCTACTGATTTCTGTAAATGTTATTCCCTGTTACTCGGGATATTCTTTGCACTTCGGTAATGCATGAACAGGCGAAGACACCTCGATGAGTAGCAGTTTATAAAGCATTTGAATCCATGAACCACCGTACAAAATATGAGTTCAAAAGACAATAGTTTGAAAATTAGTTTGAAGTTTGAAGAGATTTTACAAAAATTGAAGCTTATCTGGAAGGTGTTCAATTTCTGAGAAGGAAACTCTTGTGCTATCTCACAATTAGAGGGTCATCAACTAAAAGTGAAGATGTTGGACCATACAAGTCTGATCAATAAACTGCCCTGGTCACCTCGGCGACATGACTAATTGGGAGGTCGAGCGATCATGGACAGGGCAATTCAAGGAGGAAAAGTTTGAAAATAGATAAGAGGTATCGTGAAGGGATACTTACACGGTTGCACTGCATTTTTGACAAGGTTTCGAATGGCATGAATTTCCAGAAGTTTCAATCTCATGATAAAGGCGGGTCTTGTTCTCGAGCGCTCCAAGCCAAAGCTGGCAGCAGCTACCAATGTAGAACCTTGGCTGAATCCACGATTTTCCTGCAAATTACGAAACTACGTAGTCAATTCTGCATGCAGTCCTCTCAACGAGGAATCAGCTTCTTTAGTTCGGCTGCAAAAGGCACATGAAAATGCTAAAAATCTTGTTCTTCTCCAGTTATTGTGCCGTATTGTAGCTTTTGAACGGCTGTATTCCATCTACTTTTGGCATATCACTTGTTTTTTGCTCACATTAGGGAAGAAATGGCCCTGTACAACAACCGTTTCTTCCACTGGGGCTGACTATTAACCCATAACTGCCAAATTTCAATTCAAATGTTCCTAATCGCCTTAAAATGAGGCTTGGAAAAATAGGTATTTTGTGTGAAAAATGGGTACGAAAATGACCAGCATCACCTGATGAGGTCAAAGAAGTGCTTTTCATATAATTCTAGAGAAAGATAGCTGCTCAATCTACTGCTGAATGATTTCACTGAATGGATTGGGTGCGATTAGCCTCTGGTTATAATTATAGCGATCGTCGCTCGCTAACGAGTCGCCTCAGGTACTTCAAAGAGAAATGAACATCGAAAACAATATTCTTTCAGTTTTTCAAACAGAATCTTGTAGAGCTCGAACGAGCTGAATTCAACGGTGTAATTTTCTGTATAGAAATTTTCAAAACTAAGTCAGTTACGGCGAAAAAACGAAAAAAACGCGGATCCGCGTTTTCTTCGCTTTTTGTCGAACAATTAAGACGGTATGTATTGTAACATCTGTCACGTGCTCCATTTCAGGCCAGTTGTGGAAGCACATTCGAGACAAAGAAGTCTATCCTCATTACAATCGGATCGTCGCACAACAGGGCTATCGAGTACTTACCTGGGTATCCCTCTTTCTCATCTATTCTGCACTGTGAATGGAAAAATTTTCCATTCTACAGGGTGCGCCAAAATTACGGAGACAACGCATGAGCAAACAATTTGAACTGATATTCACAGATGCTGTTTTCTTCTGTCCTAGTTTTGGTACTGTGGTGTAGAATTGTTTATGCTTACCTTGTTCAACCACCAAAATCTATGGTAGCTGCAGCGGTTGACTGATACTGACACCGTCCCTAAATCATTGGACTTCGACGTTGAGGGTTTTTGGCACGCGACAATTATCATCGTTTTGGTGTATACCCGAGCACTATCAATAGATGCTCCAAATGGTACAGGGGACAAGGAGCTGAATGCAGTCATTCTGGATGAGAAGGGCGTGTTTCTGTGGCGACCACGAACAATCTAAGGATTGTGTGCGATAGAATTTGCAGGTAGTTGACGCGCTGGTTTCACTGGATGTCACGAGAGATAGGAATCAGGGGGGCTCTTTTGGACTTATCAGAGCCCATTGCTATCCTGAGTTTATTTTCACTTTGAAAATCGTTGCTGGGCCTTCCATCAAGTAGGAGCTCCCGTTTACGAGGCAAGGGTGGTTCAGTACTAGTGCAGCATTGATGCAGAACCGATTTTTTCGACTTTGTCGGCTTAAACGGTGGTAGAACAGCATTTCAGATCTGAGCTCGATAGGGTACGCTGTCGGATCCGTTCTAGAAGCTGAGGCTTGCATAAAACACATTATGTCTAGGGATTCGTTGAAGAAACCGCTCTAAAATGAGCTTGACGAGTCCTACTCGCCACATTGCGTGCCACAGTCGATGGTTCCTCGATGTTTCTGAGGACCCGTATAAACACAAACCAAGGAATTTCAAAAATTGCATGGATTCAGAATGGGACTGTGCACGTCACTGCATTTTTGTTTTCAAAGAATTGCACCTTGCTCATCCTAGGCAACTCGAAGTCGCTGTCTCCGTAATTTTGGCGCACCCTGTATTATAAAAGAGACAACGAAAAGAGACAAAGACAATGTTAACTCCCCTTCAACTCTCCTGCTTTCCAGATGTCTCAGAAAACTACACTACCATCCCTAAGTTTTTGACTTATTAGCTACTACGAAGAGCTTAGGAGCTCAGAAGAACTGGCCAAATTGAAAAGTTCGGACGCTTTACAAATTCAGCTTCGTGTCAAAAATTAAGCCAATACCAGTTATCCTATCTTAGAGATGGAGTTCTTACCACTAGCTTAGCGGTTACGCAACTTGGCAGACTTGTGTAACGCGACGAGGGGCAGGTAGTATGCACGAGCACGCTGTGCAAGAGGGCACAGACACCGCGTGTGTTGCAAACAGGTGAAAACGGCAACGGTTGTGGGTGTCAAAGTGGAAACCTTATGGTTAGTGTACCGTCGTGTCACGACATTGGCATATTTCCTGTGCTTAGGGACCCCGCTACTTCACTGACAAACAGAATTGCTCAGAGGATTTCATTGCAACCCGTGTCATTAAGTACTCAATGGATTGTTATCCTGAATAACTCTTTTCAATGTGCACTGATGCTTCCCGACTTCCTCGACGTCCGTACTCATTTTAGTCTGTGACCGATTCGCGAGGAGACGTCAACGAGAACGGCTGGCAAAACATCTCGTTGGTACAATGATCCTCACCTCTGGAAAGAAAGATCAGCGAGCACTCAACCGAGAAATCATTTCTCAATTGCTCTATAAAGACTAGACCTTCTTTTGTGTCGGGTTATTTTGTCCATGGATCATGTTGTACATGTAACATCAAGGTTTTCATGTAAACATTTGCGATACACCTATTGGATTTATATACTACTTCTGCTGCCAGAAACAAGTACGAGGTACCCTTTATTTCAAAAACGAGGAGAGTCGAGTGCAGAGCACACACCTTAAGTGACGACGGTCAAGAATAAATAAGGCTTTATCTTTTCTTTGGCCGTTGTTAGAGGGTACATGGTCATGTCTACAGTAATCACAACTCGAAAATATTAACTCCTACTACAGAACGATGGATTTCCATTCGTATGCTTTACCATATGTACTATGCACACTAATTAGGTACATGCTCCCTTTTGGTAATTTACTAAAGCGCAAGTTGCTACCAAGCAATAAAGCAACAGATAGAGAAATAGCAACCTGTTTCGTCAAAACCACTCAGAACTGCTAAACCACAAAAAAGTGCACTAAAATGTCAGCAAATTACTGACGTGTTCTCTGACTTCACGCAAAAATCCGAGGACCCGCTTCCACAAAAGCTTCTATCCTTCCTACTATTCACTCTTGCACCTGTGAATTGTCTGGAGGAACTTTCGCCCACCTAGGTATAATTTGTGGGCTTAAACAAAAAGTAGATCCGGTATGATTCACCAATGAAGGAGAAAAGAAACCACAAAAAGCATTGGAAATGAAGACCTCCTTTCTTAGGGAACGTGCTTCCTTTCCGGATGTGCCACGACAAAAACACGCTGACAATCAGGTGAGAGAGTATGGTGGACGAAGGAGACGCAGACATTCCGCGGCGTAACTGATACATTGCTACCAACCATTTGCAGCCCTCCGCAATAGGGACGTCTGCAGCGTCCCTACTGCGAACTCTCTAGCCATGGCATCGGCATCAGATCTCGGTTTGTGAACTGATGGATCACTCACTCAGATAGCCACGGCCGTACAGGGTGAATAACGGTCGAGGAAATCCTCGACCATGGCTCTCTACTGTGCGAGAGTAGTGCCGAGAGTGAATGTACGCGCGGAGAGCACAGACGGCTCGCGGTGGCGAGAGTGAATGTCCGCGCGGGAGAGCGTGATCAGGCGAAAATCCTCGACGTGCCGTTGAGGAATCCTCGAGCGATTTCACCCTGGCGTGTACCTTTAACAGAGTTCCTGTCAGCAGTACCCCCTGATCTACCTTCTCGCTGTATTATTCGAATTCCTTTCCAAACGACATCCTCCGCTAATGCGATCAAGCGCAAACCGCTAAAGAGGCCATTTCAGGCGCCAAAGTTTAATCCCATAAGTTCTCCGCATATTTCAACCCATAATACTGCAGGTGATAGGATAAGTGATTATATACAAAAATTTATCGATACCTTATAAAGAACAACACCGGTAAGAAAAATGACGTGAACATGCAAAATAAACGGAAAACATTGAACCAGTGATAACTGTGACTACGCCCATTCTGTGCAAACAGTTCAGGCACCGAGCTGCTTATAAAGGATTGGCACGTAGTCGTCCCACTCCGCCTGTAATTAATTTAATTAGCAAGATTTCATATATATTTGAATGTGACATTTCTGCAAATCAATAACAACAGAACGAACCCGATAGAAATTTCCTGCAATAGGTGTACCAAGCTTGTGCTTTGCAACAAACTTCTCTGTCTTGAATCCACCACGGCCATCACCAGAGCGATTCGTCAAATGACCATGCTCGGAATCGTAGTGATACGACCACCCTGCTTGTAGACAAGAATACATAACGATGAAGGCCTGGAAAATTCACCAATCCCGAAGGTGTAAGAGCCAACTTGATTTCACTTCCTACCGGTGCCTTTAGGTGGTCCAGATCCGATGTACTCGGCGAGTACATCACCTTTGCTGATGTCGTTTCCTGGTACATTCACGATAAGCCAGTGATGCCATTCTCGGTACGTTGCCTCCTTGCGAGATGGCGCGTCCGGATCTACATTAAACTTTGTATTTAGTTTTTTTTTTTTTTGAATACATCTACATAAATGGAAATTCACGTTATACATATCTTGTCATGTTCGCCCCTATTGAAACCTCACTAAGGAGCGATCTGTTTTGCATTAGCTTAGGCACAATTGTTTACAGACGCCTTGGCGCTCATGTCCTTGCAGGGGGGGGGGGGGAGGGGCATTCAAAACAGGGTCGAATTATACGGAGAAACACCAGGATGAGACGCTAATTGAGTCACATAAATCCCTCAGGATTTCTTCCCGCTCTAGGGCTTAGTCCCAAGGCACCAGTAATTGCCTCAACACTTGCGAGTCACTCCCTGGTCACCCTCCCCCCACCCCCCCCAAGACATGACGCCGAACGCGCTCCATTCTGGTTCATATATCTTCCTTCTCGTCTCAGCCAGTTCACGACTGTCCTCTACATAAAACCGCAAATGATAGGAGCTTATTGAAAAGCCTGTAAATTAACGGCTCAAACAGCCTCCAAGCTTATAAAGACGAGAGCCAAACAATAAAGACTTCATCTAAGCCCTGGTTTAAGGAAAAGAACACAAAACAACTCCGTGACATAACTTTTCCATATTCAAAAGAAGGATCAGGAAATTGCAAAAAGGGTACTTTCGGAGCATGAATGATGGGTAAATAAATTTACCAGTGAATATAACGGTGTACAGGGCTCCCGGTTCTGCGTCCCATGTAAGCTTTGGTGGGTTTTTCACCTGTGTTGGCGTCAGAACATTTCCGAGATTAACCTGAAAGAAATAAAAAATTGCAATCCATCATTACCTATATTCAAATTTATACGAAGTTATTACGGATTCTACTATTTTCACAAAACATTCACGTATGACGAGATAGCAAATCACCTCAGCGCCACTGTCATAGCTTGCTTTGACTACTTTTGTTGGAGCCGTAGCCAACACGTCTGGAACCACTTCGTGCTTCTTGAACGCTTCTGCAGGCATTGATGCAAAAGACCTGAAACCGTTCAACTAGACAACTTTCCTATTGTCCATGAAGTCCTTTAAACATGCAGAAAAAGAGGAAGACCCATAAAAATCGCGAAAACAGTGATCCACAGGAAATTATTAGATTAAAATATCGAATGCGCTATCCATTTGCGTTACTAAGAATGTGATAAAGAGACTGCTTATGCTAAAAATGTGAAAAGGTGGCTAACAATCAGCCACCTTGCGCAAGCTTAAAATTTCCATCTAGCGCTGATTGGAAGCAATTCATCACAAACCTACCACGTTAAGCAATTCGAGCCAGCTAGTTGCTAGGTAGCACGCAGCCACTCACCACAAATGGCCTATAAATTACTCTACTGCTGTTTTGAGAAATTTTCTGGACTGTTTTCCATCAGAGTCGCATACTGATAACCTGATGTTGACTATACACAATTGGTGCTTTTGCCGCGGAAATGGAACGGCGACTATGCTATACGCAGTACCAGGTGAACAAGTAGCTCAGAAAATATTGCAGAAATTTTTTTCTCCAAAAAACAAGCATTCTGTTGGCACATACATCCTTTTGTCGTGGCGAATCACTTTGGTGTTGATCATGAGACTACTACTGCTTTGATTCTATAAGGGACAGACGACTGGTCCAGAGCGCAATCCAGGGGGGATAGAAGGGTGTTGTACAAGAGGTGACAGAACGAAGAAGTTGTTTGCTCCGCGGATTAAGCGGCTAGTTTTGTTGTGTACACGTGCCCTGAAAGTGGTCAACCGTCCGTCCGCTTGATCTGGAGTCAGAATTGGGATAGTCGAAGGCGAC